TGTCGGCTCATGTAATCAGCAGGGTTTTCGGCATCTCTTCCAGGTCGATAGATCAGCTGACAGTCGTAGGGCATGAGTCGAAGTTTCCACCTTTCCATTCTTGGGGAGGTTTGCTTGTGGTTCTTGAAGATGCCAATGAGAGGTTTATGATCAGTAATAACAGAAAACTGGGCACCATAAACATACAGATGAAAATGTTCCACTCCCCATACTACGGCAAGCATTTCTCTCTCTGTTTGGGAGTAGCGACTTTCCACGTCACTCAAAGCACGACTCGCATAACCAAGAATTTTGCCTTCTTGTACTAACAGTCCACCAAGACCAGTTGGACTCGCATCGACAATGATTTCGGTCTTCTTTCTTGGATCAAAGTAAGACATAACTTGATCACCAATGAGGGCTTCTTTCAGCTTGTCCAATGCCTTTTGTTCTTCTTGCTCCCATTTCCAAGGGGTGTCCTGTCGGGTCAGCAGGCGCAAAGGGGTCGTGATTGTGGCATAGTCTGGAATGAATCGGGACACGCACTGTGCCATACCAAGAAAAGACTTCAGTTCACCATGGTTCTGAGGAGGTTGTGCCTCATGGATTGCTTTAACTTTCTTTGGATCAGGTCTAACACCGACAGAGCTAAAAATGTGACCATAGAACTTGATTTCAGTTTTGGAAAACGCACACTTGTATTTGTTCAGACGGAGGTTGTTTTCTTTCAGCCTCTGTAAAACACCACGGAGATTCTTGCTGTGTTCTTCCTGGTCTTTTCCAAATACTATGATGTCATCTGAGATGTTTTTACATCCTGGGAGGCCAGTAAGAAGTTCCCTGATTGTTTCCTGGAAAATCTCTGATGCTGCACTAACTCCAAAAGGCAGACGTTTGTATCTTCTTAGGCCAGCATGTGTTCTGAAGGTTGTGACATGACGGCTTTCAGGTGATATCTCAAGCTGGTGATATCCTGAGGACAGATCTAATGTACTGAAAAGAGTTGCACCATTCAAATCAGCAATAAGGTCATCAATGGTTGGCATGAGATGCTTTTCTCGCTTAATTGCTTGGTTTGCCTCACGCATATCAACACAGATTCGAACTTCTCCGGATTTTTTAGGAACGACAACAATTGGACTGATCCAGGGTGTGGGCCCTTCAACTTTCTCGATGATGTCGAGTTTCTCAAGTCTCTCAAGCTCTTTTTCGACATCGTCTCTAACATGAAATGGAATTCGTCTGTGGGGTTGCTGTCGGGGTGTAGCATCGGGGTCTATGTGTAACTTCACTTGTTTGTTTGGTACTTTCCCTATGCCTCCAAACAGTGATTTGAACTCTTCTTTTAGAGACTCCGGGTCGTCTTTGTTTCTTTCAGTGACGGTGGCAGTATTAATAGAAACCGCAATCAGACCTAGTTTCTTCTCAGTGTCATAGCTGAGAAGATTTCCGTTTTCTCCTTTCACAACAATCAGCTGGGCAGAGGTGCTCGCGTTACTGGATTTCACGGTCGCAGTGAGGATTCCCAGGGTAGGAAGAGGGACTTTAGATCCATATGAATAAATCTTGGTATGAACAGGTTGCAGGCTCTCACAGCCGTGACTGTTAATTCTTTGAAAGGTTGTTTCATCTAGAAGATTAACAGATGCACCCGAGTCGATCATCATATTCACGCTTTTTCCATTGATTTGTAGCTGACATATGGGTGGCTTCTTGTTTTCTTGATGGTCGACAGTGTAAACGTACTCATATTCTTCATCAGAGGTTTGACCAGTTTCCACGGAGGCCACGGTACGAGGTTTAGAACGACAAACATGAGCAAAATGGCCAATTTTCCCGCAGGCTTTACAGATTTTTCCTT